GTGTCCCCTGGGCTCCTGGAGCTTTGGAACAAGGTGGGCTTTGGAGTCAGATCTGGGCTCGAGTCCCGGGTTGGTCGCTTAGCCCCATCAGCAGCAGCAGTGAGGCTCTGGAAACGCCGTGGGGAGCATGGGGTGGCGTGGTGCATAGGCAGGGGGCGCGCAGGCCGGTCGTCATGCTGCAGCAGCACCCCCCGCCCCATCTGCTGCCTGCCTGTGTGTCTGCGGGAGTCCCCTCCTCAGAGAGCAGAAAGCCTCACCTCCCCGAGGGCCCTGGGGCCAGGATTTGGGAAGGACGGAAGCCCTGTGGGTCAAGGGTACACATAGGAGAAAGCGTGTTAATTTTCGGGAGAAGGCTGGGATTTGAGGCACCCAAGGAAATCCATTCTTGGTGTCAGAAAACTTTGGATTCTCCAAGCCCCAGTCCCAGGGAGGAAGAAGGGGTGGGGGAAGAGAGAGCGAGGGAGTGAGAGAGAGAGAAAGGCAGAGGGGGGGTGGTAAGAGCAGGAGAGGGTGAGCACACAGCTCTGTAATGGAAACTTGGCATGCAGCCTCTACTTCTTTTCTTCCTTAGTGCATGTGGTTTGAGTCTCGGGTTGAGAACGTCTTCCCCTTTCAGCAGGCACCCGGCATGATCTCCATGGCCCACTCCTGTCCCCCACTTCTCAGAGCCTGCAGTTATGCACCCTGCCTCCGCCGGTGACACATGACATGTGAGCCTCCTGCCTCCCTCCTCATGCGCCCCCTCCCCCTGGACTAATTAGGCCAACATGCAACTTCCAGGGCCTGGCAGATGAGGAGCCAAGAATGCGGTGGACAGGTGCCAAGTGTTTTTGTTGACATTGCTCAAGTGCAGCTTTGTGGAGCAGCCTCTGCTGGAGCAGAGAAGTCCAAGGAAGTCTGAGATGAGTGAAGGGAGAGCAGGGAGAAACCCAAGTGGGTGCCTCTTCCAATCCCCTCTGCTCCTCCTCCTAAATCCAACAAGAGAGCCCTCCAAGTCGTAACCCATGGGACCGGCTTAGTCTGTAAGAAGGCCACGCTGAGCAGAGCGCCATGCGTTCAGTGGGGTTTTTGGAACCGTTTTCTCTTCTGTTTGTGGTGGCTTCATGCGGTATATGCCTCACCACAGTTCCTGATTGTTTCTGAGGAAACGAACTTCCTGGAAGTAGGTTTAGGGAAAACTGTCTTCGCCCCTAAACTGTTAAAAGGTTCGGCTGCATTGTTGATCTGCCTCTCTGTAGCTGAATAATGCAACCAGATGGACTGCATCCTCCCCAGTGATCTACCATGAATGTGGCCATTGGGTCACCAGACCTGGGTTCAGATCCCCGTTCTGCCCCTCTCATTGCTTGCCGTGTGACCTTGGGTGAGTCTTTGAACCTCTTCATGCTTTGGTTTCCTTATTTGCAAATGGAGCTAATAGTTCAAAATAAGACTGCTGTTAAAATGAAACATGGATGGAATTGAAAGTTCTTCGCACGTAATAGACACTCAATGAATGGGAGCCATATAGCTATTAAATGGTAGTTGGTGTGGTTGGCTATGGATTGGCTCTGATTTTAGGCATATCTCTTCTACCCTGATTTATTTACTCCAGAGGTAGGTCGATCCAGCACCAACTGCCCCTGCCTACCTCACCAGGATTTTGTGAGGACAAATTGAATGGGGTATAATATTGTTTACACTTGGTTCTCAATGGGGAAGGAAGTGAATGCAGTACTTGCTGTCATCACTCTGATTTTCTCGGACTCTGGTCTCTGCATTAGTAGTTCAGTGGTTAGTGGTCAACTATATTTTTGTTGAGATAAAAATTTGTAGGTTTTGGAATCCAGAGGTGCTGCCTTAATAGTCTCTAATGCCTGAAGATGTTGAATCATTATGTAAAAAAAAAATCCTCTAATTTTCTGCTACAATAGCTGGCTTTATGTTTACATCTCCTAATTGGTATCAGCTTTTCTTTCAGAATTACAGAACCATGGAAACTTGGCCTGAGAAAGAACTTTGGAAGTCATTGGAAGGGACACTTGCTTCTTTGCAAATCTTTGGAGTCTTCCTAAACATTCAGATTGCAGTACCACAAAGCACTTTTCTCTGACCCCGATTATGAGAACAGCAGGGTAGCCAATCTGTTGGTCCATAGCGCGACTCTACCTTTGGATCTTACGCAGGCCGGGAAATGCCTTTGGTGCCCCGCCTGTATCTCTTCGTTCTTGCCTCTGGCGCCGTTTAAATTTTAGCACCTGCATCTTACTGTCTAAGGCCTTTTCCTGGGCGCTAGAGCCCACCTGGGACACCCATATGCCAGGTGAGAGGTGCCAGGGAATTCATGGCCCCTGGGAATAGCCTTCAACCAGTGGCAGACCAGGAATAGGTGGATACATACTTAAGCTTGCTTACTCCTGAGTGTCTGAGATACCTGTCCACCCTGACCCCCAGAGCTTTCCAGGGAGGCCAAGCTCTAGTTGACTCATTTTGGTGACTGGCTTGAAGTGTACCATCTCTTGGCTGGTTCGCCTTCCCCATCCCATGTTCCTGTTCCCCTACAGGTGCTTCCTGGGATCACCCCCACCCCCAATAGGAAACACCTGTGTTCAAATCCTCATTTCCGGGGCTGCTGTGGAAACCCAGCCTGAGACAAATGGGTTGTCTTTCTCCACACTTTTGTAGATCGTTTGTGATAATGCGGTGCTATACTCACATTTCAGGGCTGCTTGTTGGATTTTCAGGCCAGTGACCTTATTGTTTCTTCATGAGTTTTTGAGATTTTTTTTCTCCGCTTGTCACCGTTCTTAATCCTAAGAATTAACCGTTGAGGTTAACCAGACGACACAAATGCCTTGCTTTCACCTTGAATTATCTCTGGTACTATTCTCTTAGTTATGACTAAACTGATGTATGTGGCCACCATGTAGGCGTTTGCATTTCAGAATCTAAACTGATTGTTTATCCTAGTTAGGCTCCACGTTTCTACATTTGTGTGTGTGTGTGTGAGAGAGAGAGAGAGAGAGGGAGATGCCTAAAATAGCTCTTCTGGTTAATATGTGTTAGTTGTAATGAGATACCTTGATAATTTTATATCTGATGGCAGATTCTGTTTGACTGAGGAAGACCTCAGTGCATGAGCTGCTGCAGTTACATGTGTCCTGTGGCTTAGGTGAGATTCCCACAAGCACTGTGATTTCCAGAAACTTCCATGAGTCTTATGTTGTCCATACCCAAAGTGGGAATAGTTATTTCAATACTTACTTACTGAGCACCTCCTCTGAGCCAGGAGTGATTCGGTGTTAGAGAGACAATAGTGGACAAAGTGGACAACATCCCTGCTCCCTCTTTCTTTCCCAAACAGTGTTGTGAGGTTCAAATTCAACAATGAAGTTGGAATCATTTGGGAAACTAAAATCACCATGGAAATAGAGGAATGGGTATGATGACCTTCAGCTCTTCATTGCCTATTTCAGAACACCACACTGATGTGGCTGGATGGGGTGCACCCTCTGGCCTTTCGTGAAGACCACTCAGCCCATGAATTAGACCCTTATCTTGTACTTAGATCCATTTTCTGCCCACAGCAAGTCTGGACACTCAAGAAGTGTCCCTTGCCTCATGCCACATCTTTCTTTAGTGCTAAGCTACCAGAAAGACCATCTTTGCTTGCTGTTTCCACCTCCCGGTGGCCCTCTGATGTCCAGCTCTGTTGTTTCTTGGTCTTTGTCTTACTTAATTTGTTTATAGTGGTCAAGGACATTGGCTGCTCCTGAAATTCCCTTTTGCTGACCTTGCCTTATGCCATTTCCCGTCCTCTTTCCCTTCCTTTTATGACCCACTGCTGAATTCTTTTAGTCTACTTGCTCTCTGAAGGAATGTTGAGTTCCCCACGATATCTTCTCTTCTCTTTAGTTCCCTCCACCCTTCTGGAAGACCCCATGCATCATGTCTCATACTCTTCCCTATTTGCTTATGACCCTCCTGATGCTCTCTGTAGCTTAGCTCACTCCCCTGAGGTGTCTCCACCCACATGCACACAGGTGGCTTACCTCCCTTTCTTTGCTCCACAGACACTTCAAGCTCAACAAGTCCTTAATGGAACATGCTCCATTCTCCCCTCCAATGTGCCCTCATCTTTGTTTTTCCTCCTGGCACATTGGTCCCTACAGTCATCTCAGCTGGAGACCTCAGCACTGTTAACCTGCTCATCCCGTAATGCATTCAAGTGGTTCAGTGTTTTCACATTTGTGCTTTCATCTCTTGTTTATGGAAGTCTTGTTATGTGGCATTCACTGGCCCAGACTCTAGGGATGTTGACATGGTGTCCTAGCTTGGGCAACCCTCCAGAAGCAGCCCCTGAGAAAGTGTTCAGTTGCGGGAGCTTTATTTGGGAGGAGTAGATGCTGGTGGGCTAGAGACAGTCATGCTGATTTCATGGACCTAATTGTGCCCATCTCTTCTCAAATCCATGTTTAGTGAGGTCACGTGGGTCATGCTGAAATTGGCCATGATGAGAATATTTACTCTATGGAAATTGGCCAGTGGCTCCAAACCAGGACTTTTCCCCCCAGAGAGTTGGTTGTTAAACATTTATCAGCATGTTACTGGGAGTGAGGAATTAAGGCAGGGAAGGACAGCAGTTCATAAATTGTGCTTTATCAGGAGAGTTACACTGTAGATAGCTGGAGCATAATCCCAGGGGAGAAAATTCTGTAATCCAGTTTAGAATACTCACCTCAACAGTCATCCTGCTGGAGTGGGTAAGGTAGTAATACACCAGTCCCTACTAGTCAGTGGCTGAGGGTGGTCTCTGTTGGACCCAGCAGGATCCAGCAGCCAGAGGAAGCCCTCAGGCAGTCAGGGGCAGCGTGGATGGAGTATAATGATAAGGCCCAAGGTGGGAGGGATAGGCTCATCATTGAGCAAATGGTGGCTGTTGAAGGCACTAGACATCCAGCATTGGGATAGGCCAAAACCCAGCTATTAGTGATGTGTGGCTGTGATCTTATTCTCCCCAGACCTCGACTTCATGGACCTCCTAGGAGAAGACCGACAGTGGACGGTGGGGAGGAAGTTAATGCAGGTGAATGACACTCTGACTTCAGAAGATGCAGGACTCCGAAGCAGTAAGAACTGCACCGAACCAGGTAACAGTCACAGCTGCGCTGTGGGCAGTGGCTGCCATTTTGTCGGGTTATGGCTGAGGAAGAGCTGGACGCCATGCTTTCCCTTTGAGTTCTAACCCAGAGAGCTCTCAGGGACATTTAGGGCAGGTGTCTAAGAAACTGAAAGGTGACATTCCCAGGAGATTCTACCTCTGTATTCTTTTTCTAGGGCATGGGTGAAAAGGTAAGTCAGTCAGTGATCCTCCTGATTCCGTGCTGATATCAAATGTGGAGGCTGGTGCTCTCAAGTGGGAAACTGAGTTGGGAGCAGGATGGGTGAGGATGTTCTCTGGCCATCTTTGCTTTAATCCCTGGAATCCTCTCTGGCTGGTTTTTAAGCAAGAGCCTTGTTTCTGTCATAGTAAAGACACAGGGGTTGAACCATATCCTTAGCTGTGTTGTTGGTCTTCTTGGAAGAAATGAATATTCATTTATCAGCTGTCATATTTGATATCTGTTGTGTCTTTCCTCAGAAAGACCTGGAACGTTTTATCTCCAATGTATTGAACTTGAAAGGAAAGCAAACACAAAGGGAATGAAGGAGACTTGGAATTGTCAGAACTCAGCTCACCAGATCTCAGGAAAGGCGAGCACCCTCTGGATGGATGAGGGCCTTGCTAGTTTAGACCAGGGGTCAGCAAGCTTGTCTCACAAATGGCCAGACAGGAAATATTTTAGCCTTTGCAGGACATATGCCATATCTATAGTTTTTGTTTTTTTAAAACATCGTTTTTGTTTTTGTTTTTTTAAAGATTTTATTTGACAGAGAGAGAGAGAGAGACAGCGAGAGAGGGAACACAAGCAGGGGGAGTGGGAGAGTGAGAAGCAGGCTTCCTGCAGAGTAGGGAGCCCGATGTGGGGCTCGATCCCAGGACCCTGGGATCATGACCTGAGCTGAAGGCAGACACTTAATGACTGAGCCACCCAGGTGCCCCTAAAACATCGTTTTATAACCCTTTACACATTTAAAAACCATTCTTAACTCACAGACTGTACAGAACAGGCACTGGGAGGTATTAGGCCTGTGGCTCTACTTTGCCAACCCCTACTTGGGCTGTTTGGCTCTCTGGGACCTCCCTTCCCTGCGTGATGGGAACTTGGGTCCCATGCATGCCCCCTCTGAGGGGTCAGAAGCTCAACCATGTGTTGATCCCACATCCAAAGGCCAGTCTCATTTTTAGTGTCATGCTGGAAAGATATAAAGTCTTCATTGCAGCCCCAAGAACCTTAGACCTTTGAGAACAGAGGGTGCTCTGTGAAGCTGTACTTCTACCTTTTTTGGGGAAAAGGTGAGTAGAGGTGTCCTTCACCACCATACTGAGAATTTTAATAGTCCGTTCCCAAGCAGAGCTGGAAAGAATTAATAGATTACCAGCAACCCCCCACCCCAAACCCACAACAACCCACAATGCTACATAATCTATATTCCTCAAGCTGGAGAATTCAGGAGTTACTGTGGCTATTATTAAATGCTTTGAAGGAACACGCTTGAAGATTAGTGAAGCACATGGCTGCTCCATGAGCTAGAAGCAGTAACGGGTGTGATGGGTTTGAGTGCCACACTGAGCCAGCAGAGCCCTTTGTAAAGAGATATGCCAAGAACCCTGGTTGCTGATCTGGTCATGTAGCCAAATATTTTTCAGGATCTTCCTATAACTAAGAGGCAGGTGGTGAGTGAGATGTCAGAAGACTGGAAATACAGCATTAGGGAGGCCAGTCTGCACCTTTGGTACGGGAAAGAATGGAGTCACATGCAGTACAGTGACTGGCTCCGTGTTGAGTTCAGCTACCACACTCAGGGCCAATGGTGATGGAAGGGGCTTCTGTTCCCTGTTGAGGGACGTGTTTTGGGGGAGGTGGTGCTGTCTCTGTGAGTGGCATTGCTCATTGTATCTAGAAGTGTTTTTCTCAGAGTGACAGGTGTAGAAGAATAAAGCACATTAAAAGCCATTGCAAGAGAGGAAATGACTCAGCTCCCAGGTAGAAAGGAAGATGTCCAGGTTTTTAAAAAGAGCACCAGTCCAGCCCCTGCTGGTGTTGACAGGGAGGACACAGAGGGAGAGAGGAGGAAGGGCTTCCAGAGGCCAGCGGGAGGAGCGAACAAGAGGTCATAATGCTGCTGAGAGCAGTCCAGAAAGAATAAAGACCCAGAAGGAACATTCTCGATGTCTTTGTTTGGGGGCTATGGGAACTGGGCTTGATTTCTGGGCCCTTGACTCTGAGCCAAAGGCTACAAGGAAGGTGATCATGCCTGAAATAGGAGGGGTCTTTTTTAAGTCCTGGCACATCAAGGGCATACTTGGAGTCTCTGTTCTTTACCAACCCTGCTTTGACCACCTCAAGCTGCAGTGACCATTCTGTTTGCTGAATGTTTTTTTGTACAAAATGTCTCTAACTGTGCTGTCCAATATGGACACTCAGTGGTGACTTAAATTCAAATTAATTCAAGTTAAATACATTAAAAATTCAGATTCTCAACTGCGCTAGCTACATGTGAAATACCTAATAGTTGTGTGTGGCTCGTGGCTACCATATTGGAGAGCACAGATCATAGCCCATTTCTATCTATCATCACAGAAAGTTCTATTGGACAGGCAGGTCTAGAACTTCCATTTGTCTTTGGACATATATCCCATCTTTCCAGCTTAGTTGCTGGAGCACCTCAAGGATATAAAGTGGACATGTAGATTTGAGAGCCCCATCTCTTCCTGGGTTTGGGGTTCACCATCCCCTGGATTTGAATCCCAGCTTAGAAGCTCTGGGCTTTGGGCCAAATAGGCTTTCTGAGCCTCTGTCTGCCTCTGTCTGCTTCTGTGAGAAATTGAGGTAATCATTCTGACCTTTCATGACTGATGTGCGAATTGGTAAAATGAAGTCATGAAGTATGACTGTGTGTGGTAGTTCTGTAGTAAGAGCTCACTCATGAAGTTCTGTCTGCTGGGGGCAGCCATCTGTCCATTACAGGTGGGTCATGGAACTACTTTCTCCAGTCCCTTCTCACAGAAATGGGCACGTTTGGCCCATCTGGTTCTGTCAATAGGCCACGTCCTCAGGTGGCCCAGGTCTGAGCAGTCAGGAAGCTGTGCCGAAAGGTTCAAGCACTATTTTCTAATACAGGCAAGCTTGAAAGATCTCGCCACGGTAATGACACGGCACCTCTGAGGAATGCTCTTTCTACAAGAATGTGGTCAAAACATGACCACAGACACACATGACCCCCCAGTAGCCTTGGTGCCCTTTCCAGAATGCTACTGGAAGTCTTCTCAGTCTGAATGGAACAGATATTTTACACAAAAGTGTTGAGAGCTACAGCACCTTATAAGGTCTGGATTTGGAATTTAAATTTAGTAGTGTTCATCTTCCCTATCTCTAACTTACTGTGGGAGGGCAGGACTGAGCTGGACGGAGCCAAGGCCCAGTTGCCCAGGTTTCCTTAAGAGGTCAGAGCAGCCCTGTAGGCAGTGAAGATTGCTTGTACTGGTTGAATGCAGTAGTGTTTGCTCTCGAAAGTCTTCAATGTAGGGGCTAGGAAGGGAGCCCTGTGGTTTCTGGACCGCCTCCCTTCCGCTTTGTGATGATGTCAGGAGAACAAGAGTGTACTTCCAAAGATGATCCATTAGGCTTCCCTCTGTGCTCAGAGGGGTGATTATTTACTCAGGGACCTGAGCATTTGGGGTGCCAGTGTGTGCCGTGGTCATGTGAATAATGGCGCCAGGGTCATCGGCAGGACTTAATTTGGCTCTTGTCATAAGGTACACCTAGTGCTACTCGTCATGTCGCTGGGCTTCTCAGACTGTGTTCTTGGAGAACCCCTGGCTTTAGGTTCCGTTAGAGTAAGTAGATTCCGAGCCAGGAGATGGAATGACCTCCATTCTGGTTGTATTCCCTGTTCAGGATAGGGGGCTGGTTTGCTTCTCAGATGTCAATTTCCTTGTCTATGAAATAGACCTGCAACTAATTTATCCTTTCTACTCCTCCCTCTGTACAAATCCAGTAATTCTACAACATTTCAAGAAGAGAGATTCATGAAAACCTCCACCCCAAGATGCCCTGCTCCGCTTTCCCGAATAACTTCTTGGCATTTGCAAAATTCCATGTCACACCTCACCCCCTCCTTGGACCCTCTTTCCCCTTTTCCCTTTCCTCTTTCCTTCCCCTGCCCCATCCCCCATCTCTCTCTTTGCCTTCCTCTGAAAACCAGGTGCCCAGAGCACCCGTCCAGGCAACGAGCAGGATGCAGGGTGCCCAACATGGTGTCAGTGCTGTCTTTGGTTGGTGTGGTAACATGAAGATGACACGGTCTTCATATGACGGCTGCTGCTTTAAAGACATGTTGTTTTGCAGTATTTCGGATTTTTTTTTGAAATGGCATTCTTCCCTTGCCCCTCCAAGACATGGCTTTGGTGGAAGTTGGTAATTTTTTGTGCCTCCATAACTGCATGAAAAAGACTAAGCTCTGGGCTCCAATTTTTCTGCAATTGTTCCAGTCCTCTGTGAATTTTTAAGGTTGTTTTCTTAGCCTGACACTGCCGATTTCATCTAGAGCCTGAAAACCTATTGTTTTTTGGCAAATAAGACTTGAAACTGTTTACTCAGATGACCTATTAAGTGAAATTTAACTTTGAATAAATTTTATCCATGGAAAATTAAGTTAGCTAAATGTAATATTGAGAGTGGTGGACAACTGTAGCAGGAATGAACTCTTTGTAGTATTTATTTGTACACTTTGCAGAATTTTATTTATACACTTCGCAGTCTGTCTCCAGAAAAATCTATCATCTTTTGGTTTTTAGTTCTTTGATGTTTTAAGGAAATGAGCTTTTCCTCAGAGTGCCTCCTTCAAATAAACTTTGGAAGAAAGAGCTATTTAAAATGATAGCCTTTGGTGTGGGCTTCACTCTGAGATCACTGGGTGTTCTTTTGAGAAAGGGCTCATCTTCCTCTCTCTGCCTGGCTTAATTGGGTCTAAGATCCTTGGGCTT